GCTGCCGCTTTTTTCCGGCTTGGGGAAAAGCCGGAAAAGAGCGTCCAGACTGGTGCGATCCTCCGGAATAAAGCCCTTTTCCGGAGGATCTCTTATTCAGTATATTTAAATCCCCCGCGCATTTCCCTATTCCAAAGTTCTAAATTAGCATGGCTATTCCGAAGAAGGGGCCAGTGTAGACGTAGCCAGCGTGTGTGCATGGGCTGGGACTGTATTGATGAGCTATATTCATTCATGCCGTGCTGGATTGAGACTGGAGCTTCACAGAAACCATATGAGGTTCCCAGAGCAGCTGTAACTCAGCACGCCTGTCCGTTACAATGAGATCTTTCATTGCATGGGGGTCATAAGATGCTGCGTATTATGGTGCGCAAGAGAGAGATGGTTTTGAATGCAAAAGTTAGCTCCCCTTGGGCTCTTGTTTTATCAACTCCTCCCATGGGAAGCAGAGTCCAGGTGGTCAGTGCTGCAGTGGGAACCTCGGAGGAACATGTCTAGCCTTCTAGGACTAGCTGGTTAGTACATGTGCAGTGTCATTCTTTACTTCTGAGGCTGTACTGCATACAAGGAGTCAATGACGCAGAGGTTGTGTGCTGTGCTTCTGTCTTGCCAGATACGTAAGATCAAAGGCTGGCACTAAAGATCCCAGGAGACTCTCTAAAGACTAATGGTGTGTAGAAAATTTCCCTAGGACAATTATTTGTGCCATCGTGGTTTGGAATAAAAGGCTTTATTGGACCTTCTTTCGAAGTATTGCATCACTATTGTGTGAGTAATGCACGTCTCTGATTGCTGTGCCTCGTGATGATGTGTGCTTGCCGGCCGACTTTGATACGGCTCTCACCATGGCCTAGTGAAATGCAGCCACTTCTGGGATGGTCACGTCAGCTGATAGCCAGCTTGCAGATGGCATGTGATACACAGCTGTTTAGGGCAGTGTGAGGGTTCTATTCCTGGCTCTGTGTGTGATTGGCTGTCACCTTGGGCACGGGGCTGCACAGTTCTCTGTAAAATGGGACACTGCTGCCTTCGTGAGGGGCTTTGAGATGTTAAAAGGTGATAAGAGCTTGTTCATCCTCATCCTCGCCCTCTGTGGTTCTGGATTCTCTTGTTCTGCGGCCCACTGCCTCTAACATTAGCAAATCCCTGTGCTAGGAGGGTGAGGCCATGGACGGTGTTTTTCCCACGCGGTGGAATTTGTTCTTTGATGTGCCTGCCCAGCTAGGGGGGGGGGGGGGTGTCCATTTCTTCATCGAAAGTGCATCTTGTTACCTGGGTGTCGGGCTACTACACCCGCACGCTGCAGCTGGAGGTGAGGAGCAGCTGCCTCTGGGCAGAGTTTATGGAGCAGAGGCTGGGAGTGGGGGGTTGAATCCTGCTGCGTTTGTTTTGAGGGAGAGTTGTTTATCGGGTAACGGGATACTCGTTCACAACCCTAATATCACCTCTGCTGGGGAAGTGCATCTTGTTACCTGGGTGTCGGGCTACTACACCCGCACGCTGCAGCTGGAGGTGAGGAGCAGCTGCCTCTGGGCAGAGTTTATGGAGCAGAGGCTGGGAGTGGGGGGTTGAATCCTGCTGCGTTTGTTTTGAGGGAGAGTTGTTTATCGGGTAACGGGATACTCGTTCACAACCCTAATATCACCTCTGCTGGGGTTGCTGAAGGGTGAGTGAAGGGAGTTGTGGTTGATAGCTCCAGCCCAGATAGATCCTGCTGTACCTTGGCCAGGACTCAAAGGATGTCCCTGGACCCCAAGGTTCCTGGTCAATCAGCTGAGGCCAACAGCCTGGTGAGGTCCCCGTCCTTTCTAGTGCCGTGGCGATTAGCTGATTGCCCTGGGGGGTTTAGCATCAGTGTCCCCACCTAGGATGTTAAATTGCATTTAATCAGCTAATCGAGTAGCGGATGGAAGGGCCGCAGCAGGGTTAGCTCCTGGCCCTGGAAGCTAACTCCACTGTGGCCCTGCCTATCAAATGTAGTAAGAGTCCCGTGGATCTTACTACATTTAAAAGGCAGAGGCGCAGCAGGGGACCAGGCACAAGCCGGGACTCAGCTGTCCCAGCTTACACCTGGTCCCCCATTGCACCTCTGCCTCCCCTCCCCGCCTCCCCCAGAGACGGTGCTGGGGGAACCAGCTTTTAAGCTGGCTCCCCCCAGCACCAGCTGCTGCTTCTCCCCTGCCCCGTTGTCTCTGATAGCGGCGACTGGTAGAGTAGGGAATCTATTCGATAAGCCTAGGCTAGTTGCTTAAATCCCTATTCCCCACAGCGCCATCTCTTCACTGATGCTCCATGCACTGAGGTGCTAATTCATTACCAGGGAAGCTGCAGACGCTGCACCAGGCCTGGCCTGCGGTTCTCCAAAAGGGCAGCCAGCTCATGCAGGGGTGCGTGGGCATCAAGGTTTGTGCCTGGAGTCTGGTTCTTTGCTATCCTCTCTGCAACTTCCCGGAGCAGCAGAGGTGTATGTGAGCAAGAGAGAACCCTTCCCCTCCTCCCCCCTGGGGAAAGGCCGGAAGCTGCGCAGGAGAATCCAGGCAGGTCAGCTCCGTGTTTTGCGTGGGGGCTGTTAAGTGTGCCGGGCCCCTTTAACAAAAGCGGTCGCAGCAGAGCACGGCGTGTGGGTATTAGAGTCGAAGCCGTCAGGAGGCACAGCAGGACGTGTGCTTATCGCCGCGACAGATTAATAGATGCAGACCAGGCTAAGCCACCCCAGGCTGGGCATTTTCAGGATGGCTCCGCGCAGCCAGTGAGTCTCGCTGCCCGTTGCATACGGGCCGGGGTGCTGCCTCTCATCAGCAGCTGCGTTTCAGGGGCCCCCGCTGATCCCAGGTGGCTGTTTCTGGGTCTGTTCCGGCACTGGGACCCGTAGCATCTGCCACGGTGAAGCAACCGATCCTGAGTAGGGGCTCCGGTGGGATGGGCCCTCCTTGCAGAATACTAGGAGCAGCGGAAGAGGTGTTCTCCCTCAGAAGCTGCATTCACAGGTCAGCCTGTGTGTGGGGAGAGGCAGGGTTCGTGTCCTGTCACTCCCCCTCCCCCCCAGGGGGTTCTAGTGGCCCTGGGTACAAGTAGCAGATGCAGAATTCCCCATATACCACTGCACTAAGCACTCGTGTCTCTTGCCTTCCTTCCGTAGGGGACAAAAGAGTGGGACAGGAGGGCCCTACCCCGTGGAGACACGGCCCCCTCGGCTTTGGAATGACAGGACGGACGTAAGTAGCCTCCTTTTCCCTCAGCTGTTCCTTTTAGTCTGTCATTTCTCCCCAGAGGAGAGGAGGGCGGAGCGGGGCAGCTGTGGGTGGCCGCATGAGGCCACTCACTGCATGTGCTGAGTGCCTGGGCAGTGGTTCCAGAGGAGATCCTGCTCCCTTCTAGCACTGTGGGAAGGGCCAGGAGGCCGTGGCCCCTGATTCTTGTGGAGAACCCCTGTGCTGGGGAATAGCCATATCTCCTGGAGAGAGAGAGAGAGCACCCCAACACCTGCACTCTTCTTCCAGTAACCCGTCACCCTCATCTGTCCTGGTAATGGTTCTCCAAAATTGTCCAGTGCGGGTAGGTTGCCTGTGACCCCACGACAATGCCAGCTGGCTGTTGCCCATTCGCATTTGGGAAGCTCAATCACCAGCAAAAAACACAGTCATGGGCCTGGGTCTGTAGGGTGTGAACGCCAGCCCTGCCCTCAACCCTACTCTGCTCCAGGCAGACATGACCTGGATTTGAGCCTACCCTGCATAGCTGAGCTGCCCGAGCATTGACCTGGGGGAGCAGTAGCGCCCACGTGACAGCAGGGATGCACAGAGAAGCCCCAGTCTGTTCCGCAGGAAAGTGATTTGACAGGTTTTGCTGCCTGTGTGGTGGAGCCGGAGCGGAGCTGGTCCTCGTGGGTTGCAGGCGGGACTGTTCTATGTGGTTGCGGATCAGAGAGGGGAAACTTAACCCAGACTCTAGTGCAGTTGTTCAGGTGTAATGCGTGTGGGTGGTTGAGCCGAATGTTATCTGCTGCCCCTGGCCAGTGAATTACCGAGTGTCACTGTGATATGGGTCCAAACGCAGGGATTTTTCTCGAATAGAAGGGGTTGTGCCTGGCAAAAGATCTTCAGGTACAACCACCTGGAAAGAAGCAAAAAGCCTCGTTGCAGGGAGCACAGGCGGGGTGAACGGGCGTGTGGGGAGTGACTGTAGCAAGACTTGTTCTTTAGGTTAGTGGCAGTTTCTGGACGTGGTTCCCTTGGGCTGCAGAACTGAGCACCCTGCGTGAGGCAGAATCCCTCTCCAGCTGAGCGGAGCTTGCCTGGAGAAGTGCGGTTTCACAACTAAACAGCACCGGTGTGGTGTTCATCTCACTTTGCTGACGGGGGACTTTCACGAGAGCCGCGGTCGCTACTGGGGAGGTCCTCGGGCTGCAGTAATGGAAGTGAGGCAGGAGGTGCGGTGGGGGGAGAGGAGCTGGGAAATGAGCTGCCATATGTACTGCCTAATGGCCTGAGTCCTGCTTCTTAGCGGGCGGTCAGTGCCGATTCGTATTGGAAATAGAATCAGGCCCGCGATATACTGTGCCCTTGGTTTCTGTTCTCCTCCCGCCCCTGTTGTTCTGTGTGCCCTGCAGCCTCGCAGAGAGCACAGGCTGCCCCATGGTGACCGCTGAACATGAGGCACAACGGTTGTTGCATTTCCTTCACGGCTTTCCTGCCGCTTGGGCTAACGCAGGCGGATAGTCTGAGCAGCGCTGGTCACAGTCCACCTGCCTTGGCTCGGAGGCAGCAAGGTCCTTCCCTATTGAGCAAAGCACGCTGGCTTACCTCCGACATTAGGAATGGGCACGTGTCCCTTTGAAGTCAGTGGCATTTGAGAGATGCTTCCAGGGACTGAGGTGAGGCTGTATTTCCCTGGATTGTCCTTCTTCCCTTTTTTTCCAAGATGGGCCTTGCATTTGCCTTTTTCCAAACGTCCAGGACCTCTCCCGATTGCCAGAAGTTTTCAAAGATAATGGCCAATGGCTCTGCAATCACATCAGCCAACTCCCTCAGCACCCATGAATGCATTAGATCTGGCCCCATGGATTTGTGTATGTCCAACTTTTCTATATAGTTCTTAACCTGTTCTTTCTCCACTGAGGGCTGCCCACCTCTTTCCCATACTGGGTTGCCTAGTTCAGCAATCTGGGAGCTGAACTTGTCTCTGAAGACAGAGGCAAAAAAAGCATTGAGCGCTTCAGCTTTTCCCACATCATCTGGGTCTCCTGGGAATGGAGGGCTGGACTATCTAGAGACCTGGGGGTATGTCTACACTAGGCACCCTAGTTCGAACTAGGGTGGCTAATGTAGTCGTTCGAATTTGCAAATGAAGCCCGGGATTAAAATCACCATTTTTAAATGCCCGGTAGTTTGAACTACCTGCCCGCGGCTACACACAGCATGGGTAGGTAGTTTGAATTAAAGCTCCTAATTCGAGCTACCGTTACTCCTCATTGCAGGAGGAGTAACAGTAGTTTGAATTAGAAGCTTTAATTCGAACTACCTACCCCGTGCTGCGTGTTGCCGCATGCAGGTAGTTCGAACTACCGGGCATTTAAAAATGGCGGCGCCCGGGAACATGCAAATGAAGCCCGGGATATTTTAATCCAGGGGTTCATTTGCAAATTCGAATAACTACATTAGCCACCCTAGTTCGAACTACGGTGCCTAGTGTAGACATACCCTAGGAGGGAAGCTCGAATGCATTCTTGAGCCATTGATCTGCTTGGCTGACAGGGGTGTAAGCTTACAGGCTTGTGAGGTTTTTAGACGGTGGCTCTGAAGCCTGTTCTTGCATCTCTTTTTCCCTTGCAGTGGGTGGATATTGGAAGTGTGAATGTGTTTGTTTCCTGGTGACAAACAAAAACCTGACCTATTTTTACACACTGCTGCTGTGGCTTTGCTGTGGAGGCTGAGGCTTTGCCGGGTCTCTTTGCTGCTTGCATGGGGGCCGAATCGCAAAGAAGTGTCTGTGGTTGTGCAGTTGTATTAGTGGTGTTGGTTAAGGGAGTTTCTACTGTATGCTAGCAATAAGAGGATGGTCAGAGAAAGTGTGGGACCCTTAGGATGAGGAAGGTAACCTAGTGACAGTTGATGTAGGAAAAGCTGAAGCGCTCAATGCTTTTTTTGCCTCTGTCTTCAGAGACAAGTTCAGCTCCCAGATTGCTGCACTAGGCAACGCAGTATGGGAAAGAGGTGGGCAGCCTTCAATGGAGAAAGAACAGGTTAAGAGCTATATAGAAAAGTTGGACATACACAAATCCATGGGGCCAGATCTAATGCATTCAAGGGTGCTGAGGGAATTGGCTGATGTGATTGCAGAGACATAGGCCATTATTTGAAATCTCATGGCAATCGGGAGAGGTCCTGGATGTTTGGAAAAAGGCAAATGTAAGGCCCATCTTTAAAAAAGGGAAGAAGGACAATCCAGAGAACTACAGACGGGTCAGCCTCACCTCAGTCCCCAGAAAAGTCATGAAGGGGATCCTCAAGGAATACATTTTGGAACACTTGGAAGAGAGGAAAGTGATTAGGAAGAGTCAACATGGATTCACCAAGGGCAAATCCTGCCTGACTAACCTGATTGTCTTCTGTGACAAAGGAACTGGCTTTGTGGATATGGGGAAGTCAGAGGACATGATATATCTTTACTTTAGCAAAGCTTTTGATGCTGTCTCTCAAAGTGTTCTTGCCAGCAAATTAAGGAAGTATGGATTAGATAAATGGACTGTAAAGTGGATAGGAAGCTGGCTAGATGGTCGGGCCCAGCGGGTAGTGATTAATGGCTTGATGTCAGTTTCTAGCAGAGTGCCCAAAGGATCGGTTCTAGGGCCGGTTTTGTTCAACATCTTTATTAATGACCTGGATGAGGGGATGGGTTGCACCCTCAGCAAGTTTGCGGATGTTACTAAGCTGGGGGAGAGGTAGATACACTGGAGGGTAGGAACAGGGTCCAGCGTGACCTAGCCAAATTGGAGGATTGGGCCAAAAGAAATCTGATGAGGTTTAACACAGGGATGTGAGGGAGAAGTCGACTACCCGATAAGCCTGTCAGGAAGGGAGAGGGAAGCAAGAGCTGGTTCTCCCCAGCACTGTCTCCATGGTGTGGGCAGGGAGGGGGGTAGGGGAGGCTCAGCTGCAGCGGTCCCGGAGCCAGCACGAACCACGACTGAACAGTCCCAGTTTGCGCCTCCTCCGGGAGCTAACCCCACTGCGGCTCTGCCTCTTACTGCATGTAGACTGCAGAGCTGCCATGGGGTTAGCTCCCGGGGGCGGCTCAAGCGGGACTGAACCATTCTGGCTCACAGTGGCCCTGCATTTTAAATGTAGTAAGAGTCCCGGGGCTGCTACCACATTTAAAATGCAGAGCCGCAGCCGGGGTAGCTTCCGGGGACTGAGCAGTCCCAGCTTGCGCCGGCTCCAAGAATGCTGCGGCTCTGCAGTTTAAATGTCGTAGGAGCTGGGCTGCCTCCGCACCCGGCTCTTGCTACATTTAAACTGCAGAGCGAGCGCTGCCCCCCGCCCCATCTACTAATTGAATAGTAGATACTCAATTAGCTAATTAATCGCAACTTAACATCCCTAGTTCAACAAGGACAAGTGCAGAGTCCTGCACTGGGGACGGAAGAATCCCTGCGGGGGCTTAAGCCGAGCTCAGCTGGAGTCCCTCTCCCTGCAGTCCTGAGCACTCCCTTGCCTTGCAGTCTGGAGAATGCAGGCATTGCAAGAGTTAATTGCCAGCTGTTGCTGCTTTGGGGTGAGGATAAAAGTTTGGCACCCTCCATCCGCTGATCTGGAACCGGAGGGTCATGTCCGCCGCTCTGTTACCGACAAGCTGCTGCAGCCAATCCAGATTGCTGCGCTTATCTCCCTCTGCTGTGACATATCCCCTGTTGATGACTCCCAAAGCCATACAGGCCAGCCTGTAAACAGGCAAGGAGGGATAAACACAGAGGGAGTCTGCAGTATCCAGCGGCAGGCAGACAGAGGTGTAGCCGGAGTCCCTGAGTAAACACCTGCCTGGCTGGAGGCCTGCAGAGACTGAGGACAGCTGCCGGGGTTTAGTGGCGTTGTAAATGCAGGTGGTGAATGCCCCAGGTAGGAAAAACCACACCTCCATCTGGGGATCGCTGTGGGAGGCGGGGAGACGGGGGGTGATTGGGAAGGCCTGGCCTTGGCTCAGAGCTTTAGGAAATCCAGGCAGATACAAAACCCCAGGGAGTATAAACATTTCAGAAGAACCGTTCTTTCACGCCACTCTACCAGCCAGGTCTCCAGTGGTTTGAGCACATAGGAGTTCCTGGGCTCTCTGTTTGGCTCTGACACTGGCCTTGCTGAAGGACTTTTGGGCAAGCCATTGCCTTTCTCTGTGCCTCAGTTTCCACATCTCTAAAATTGCGATCCCCGTGACCTGTTTTTTTTCAGGGGGCCAGGTCTCTGCAGGGGCTCTGCAGAGCCCCCTGCCGTGCTACTGGGATGAGTGTAAGTAACAGACTACACTTGAACCTCCACGCTCTGGGTGTCCCAAATCTGGGAACACCCGTGGTACAGAGATGGGAGTGGCTTTGTGCACTGCTGCTCCCCTTCCTTCAAGCTGGGGGAAAGGCAGCATGAAGAGATGCTTCCCTTGAGGCTTTTCCCCCAGCCATGCGAGGAGCATGGATCCATGTGTGCCCCCAGGAGTGGGGTGGCACATAAGTGCCCTCCCTGGCCCAGACAAATCTTTAATCCTGCATGCCCATATTCAGTCTGTATTTTATTTTACTTGACTGTTGCATAGAAACCAGACTGGCTTGTGTGCTGGGAGACAGCAGCCACAGGCAGACAAGTCTCAGAGGGGGATCCGTGTTAGTCTGTATCTGCAAAAACACCAAGAAATCTTGTGGCATCTTACAGACTAAGGGTATGGCTACACTAGCCATCCTAGTTCGAACTAGGGTGGCTAGTGTAGCCATACCCTAACAGATTTGTTTGGGCATAAGCTTTTGTGGGCAAAGACGTCCTTTGTCAGATGCATCTGACAAAGGACGTCTTTGCCCACAAAAGCTTATGCCCAAACAAATCTGTTAGGGTATGGCTACACTAGCCACCCTAGTTCGAACTAGGGTGGCTAGTGTAGCCATACCCTAACAGATTTGTTTGGGCATAAGCTTTTGTGGGCAAAGACGTCCTTTGTCAGATGCATCTGACAAAGTGTTTTTTACCCACAAAAACTTATGTCCAAATAAATCTGTGAGGGTATGTCTACACTGGCTCGTTAATTCGAGCTAGGTAGGCAAATCAGGCAACCAGAGTTGCAAATGAAGCTCGGGATTTTGGATCAGGCAACCAGAGTTGCAAATGAAGCTCGGGAAGGAGCATGGCGGAAAGGGATCTAGGGGTCATAGTGGACCACAAGTTGAATATGAGTCAACAGTGTGATGCTGTTGCAAAAAAAGCAAATATGATTCTAGGTTGTATCAACAGGTGTGTTGTAAGCAAAACTCGTGAAGTCATTCTGCCGCTCTACTCTGCACTAGTTAGGCCTCAGCTGGAGTACTGTGTCCAGTTCTGGGCGCCACATTTCAAGAAAGATGTGGAGAAATTGGAAAGGGTACAGAGAAGAGCGACAAGAATGATTAAAGGTCTAGAGAACATGACCTATGAAGCCAGGCTTCATGAACTGGGCTTGTTTAGTTTGGAAAAAAGAAGATTAAGGGGGGACATGATAGCGGTTTTCAAATATCTAAAAGGGTGTCACAAGGAGGAAGGCGAAAATTTGTTCCTCTTGGTTTCTGAGGACAGGACAAGGAGTAATGGGCTTAAAGTGCAGCAGGGGAGGTTTAGATTGGACATTAGGAAAAAATTCCTAACTGTCAGGGTGGTCAAATATTGGAATAAATTGCCAAGGGAGGTGGTGGAATCTCCCTCTCTGGAGATATTTAAGAACAGGTTAGATAGACATCTGTCAGGGATGGTGTAGACGGAGCTTGATCCTGCCTTGAGGGCGGGGGGCTGGACACGATGACCTCTCGAGGTCCCTTCCAGTCCTATTATTCTATGATTCTATCCCCTCTGCTGCAATCTGATTTACATAGAGAGCAAAGGTACAGGAGGCAAAATCTTCCTGCTCTTCCTGGTGCAAGAGACACGATTTTGAGCCACTTTGTCTCAGTAACATCCTGAGAGCGACATGGGAGCAGCACCGCTGTGTATCAGCAGTTGCTTATCGGACCATATTATCTCTAAGAGGGTGGGTGGGAAACCAAGAATCATGGGTTATTTGAAAAGCATGGCACCAGTTGTTTCTAAATAAACAAACAGTCCTATGTGTGTACAATGGGACTGAGTGTAGATCACTGGAATGTATTTGTACAGCAAAGGGAGATGGGTATCAAAATCCAAGCGGTATCCTACATAACAAGGTCCCAATATTGTGCAAGTGAGTAAGTGAGTACATTCCAATCTGTGAGGCGTAGTAACAGACTGATTAATCAAACAGGAACGGCCACCTTGCCAGTCTGCAGCGCTAGTTTAGGACCTGGGAAACTGAGCCAGCATGTGAACACATGGCAGACTCGGGAAATGTTTGCCGCTCGTGTGAGGTAAGCGCCCATGACTTGTTGTTTGAACTGCTTGGTGTTGCTCTAACGGAGCTGTGGGTTTTGACAGTGGGGCTTGCGGACTTTCCAAGGCGGCCAGCGACTTGGGGAGTCTGGTGTCTGACTGGAGACGTGGTAAATAACAAGTCACGCTTGAGCCACATTGCCTGGGATGAGTTTGTCAGGAGAAGTAAATGGGATGTTGGCTTCCCCCCCACCCATGTGCTTTGGCAGCAGGCTTGGACCCATCCAGTTGTTCTGCACTGTCCATTCTCCATGCAGGAGTTATGCCCTGGTAGGAAAGGGACCAGAACACATCCCTTAACACTACATGTGCAGGCAGGGGAAGATGGCAGAGGCACTGCAGGCAGTGGGCGGCTTTGAGCCAGGCTTGCGGGCCCTGTCCTGGCTGGAGGCAGTGCAAGCATGTGCTGTCCTCGCGGCCTCAGCCCTTGGGCGAAGGGAGCAGCCGGGGCTCTTTGTGCGTGGCCTGGCCTGCAAGTGCCACCCCACCGCCCCTGTTCCCATTTGTCCAGGAATAGGAGCAGCGCGGGGCAGGGTTGCTGACTGACTGCCCCAGCCTTGAGCCCCAACCTCTGCACTGCCTACCCCCCTCCCAACCCTCTGCCCTGACTCCTGTGACACCCCACACCCGTCAGTCCCCTGCTCTGATTCGTGCAGCCGCTCTATTCCTCAGCTCCCTGCCCTGAGATTCCCACGCCTCCAAACCCCTGCCCTGGCTCCTGCGACCCCCATTCTCCCCCACAGCCCTTTGCCTAAGTCACACGATGCAATACAACAGTATCTGCAAGAAATGGAAGTTACTTTCACCCTCGCTCATCGGCCAGGCTTCTGAGACAAGGAGTCTCCGTACCACTTTGAGTGCTGGTCCTTCCCAGCCACGGTGCTGTCTCTAGCTGTGGCCAATCCTTGACACTTCCGAGGAAGGTGGGGAAAGACTGAGAACAGATCTGGCCCATTGTGTATCGAGGGAAAATAAAGTCTTTCCTGATCCTGGAAAGCCGAACTTCAGGGTGATTTGAGAGCCAGACCAGGGTGCGGGCCAGATGGCTTCGTGTTATGACACTCACCACAGTGCCAGAAGGCTGCCGTCCAGATCCCAGAGGCGCTCTGCCTGGGATTAGGATGGATAGTGTTTGGTTAGGGGCTTGGGCCCAGCTCTCCCTGGACACTGCACAGTTGGCAGCACGGGCTTTCAGAAGTGGCTCTGTTCACAGCGGTACCATGAAGCATGGAGACATGAGAGAAGCTTTGGCTTAGCTCAGTGAAGTGAGCCCCCGCGCCAGTGGGCTCCAACAAAGTTATGAATCTCCGAGGATTGAGCCAACCCTCCCTATCCTACCCCAGAAGCCCTTCTCTCAGGGGCTGCTGTGGCGGGAGTGATGCATTGCAGAAAAAAGGCAAAGAGAAAACGAACCTCCCTTTGTAGGAGGGGAGATGGTCGATTCCTTTGAGCTGTTGTGAGCCAGTTCCTTCTGGGGTTTCCTGGCTCTCAGCACTTCAGATTTTTTTCAGAGCATTGTTTGAATATGAATTTGCCCATCACCCCTCTGAAGAAATAATGGTATCCTTGTTCTGCAGCTGTAGGGGAGGTTAAGTGATTGGCCAGAGGCCACACGGTGAGTCACTGGTAGAAGCAGAGGGAGTTTTTTTGGGGAGTGTCTGCCTCCCAGTTAAATATTGGGACCCAATGAATCTGTGTGGCCGAGGTGGGAAGTGGAATGCCAAGCACTTTAATATCATCAAAAGCTCTTCGGGCTGCACGGCATCCCATGACCCCTTGTAATCAAACAGCACAGTGGAATGTTCCGGTGGATTGAATCGAGCCGTCTCCGTTCATCCTCAGTTCCCCCTCCTTGTATATCTTCCCCTGTTGTAACACAGCCACGAATTTTCACCCCTACCCCCCATTAAGGAAAAGTTAGGGTGCAATCTGCTAGCCTGAATGTGCTCTGTGCCTGCCGCGCTGGATCTGTTCAGAGCTTGTTGTCTTCGTATTGCAGCTCTTAATTCCTAGGTGCCAGCTTTCAGCTCGGATGGTGGGAGACAGAGTTGATGCAGTGCATTGGAGAGGGGAGTCTGGCATGTGGTGTGCTTGCTTGTTTGCTCGCTCGCTCCTGGAGATTCTTTCGGGCTTTGTTATTTTCCTGAGCCTGAACAACTTCTCTTTGAATAGTGAAAACACACACGTGAGCTCCTACCAGAGAGCTGTGTCCACACTGTGAAAAGGATTTTGACAAATTGGAAACGGACCAGAAAAGAGCTACAAGAATGATTTGGGGTCCGGGAAATCTGCTGGGAGGGTAAAGGAGCTCAGTCTATTTCACTTAATAGGTAATTAATCGCTACTCTTAAAAAACCAAAAATGTCATGTGAGCAGCTCAAATGGGGAGATGATTTCTGATAGCAGAGGACGCTTTACTCTATCAGACAAATGCAGAGTGAGATCCAACGGCTGGAGCTAGATAAAATCAGAATAGAAATAAGGTGCAGATTAACTGAGAGAACAGTTTACCTGGGGATTGCTTGGAGATTTCACTCAAATTCAACCAGAAGATATGGGATTCATGCAGGAATCACTGGGTGAAATGCTAGGACAACTGACTAAATGATCATAATGGTTTTTTCTGGTCTTAAAATCTGAGCCTGTGAAAACAACAGTGAAGAAAGACCTGATTTTATTACTCGATGTTCTGAAAATTGGGCCTATGGATTATAATCTCAGTCCTGAGTTGGAAACCAGTCCATTGAGACTTTGTAGGGAGGCAGTAAATCATAACAGCAGAGTAATGCAATTTTTATCGCTTCGTACCATTTGCTGTGGAAGTGGTCACTGGCGCATAGACTTTAAGTTGTAAACATCGCACGTGTATTTAATGCATGCAATAACCATAGAAATGAAGATAATTTGTGAAAATGTTGCACTATAGTGATTCTCCTCTTCTGCCAGTTGGGATCACTACTCAGTCCCGTTGTGCATGCACTAAATAATTTGTGAAAATGTTGCACCATAGTGATTCTCCTCTTCTACCAGTTGGGATTACTACTCAGTCCCGTTGTGCATGCACTATCCTCATTTTAGAGACAGGGAAACTGAGGCAGAGTTTAAAGTTCTAATATTCTGCCTGCCCAACTTAAGATGTGGAACCTTGTTTCCAGTGGTGCTGTGCACACTCAGCACTCCCTGACTTTGGTCAGAGTTGGGGGTGCGCAGCATCTCTGCAGATTAGGCTCTTTGATGCCACCAGTTTACACTTCTGGAAGCATGATCCAAAATACGGAGCTTGAAGCCAGAGAGGTGAAAGCTGGGCTTAGAAGCTGTTAGGAGGCGGGGGCTCCTCTTTCTCTAATGAGACGGCTATTGCCATGCACTCTTTACCTGTAGCAAAGCACAATTCATCCTCCTACTGCAATATGAGCCCTATAAGAGAGGCAGGGAATTCACACACATCCCCTGCTTTGGCTGAGTATAAGACCGGAAAAGGGCTTTGTTTTCTAAGAAGGTTTTCTCCCTTTTTCACCCTCCCCATGAAATCAGCCCATCACTGTCAAATATAAAATGCTTCCTACAAACCTACCCTGATGTAGCTTCCTGGAAGGTTTCCTCCCTTCTTCACCCTCCGCATGAAATCAGCCCATCACTGGCAAATATAAAATGCTTCCTACAAACCTACCCTGATGCAGCTTCCTTCTCAGCAATGGCATTAAACTTGGCAAAGTTGCTGCTGGTGCACTAGGCACTAAATATTTACACAGAATCCTAGAACACTAGAACTGGAAGGGACCTCGAGAGGTTAGCGAGTCCAGTCCCCTGCCCTCACAGCAGGACCAAGCACCGTCTAGCCCAGGACTACTCAACTTTGGAAGCCCTGGGGGCCACAGTGATACTCACAGCACATGCCGAGGGCCGCAACTTCAGTGTGGTTGCATATACATGCAAATATAGACGCAAATAGCTTTTCACACTGACGGACATGAATAAAAGCACTTCCCACAATGTCCTGGAGCTCCTGGCACCTCTCTGAGGGCTAGAAATGCTGACACCCTCTACCCATCTGTTCCAGCCAGCCCGTCCGTGTGCGTCTTTCAGTGCTCACCCACCCTGGGAGATACCTCGCTGTTGTGGAGCGTGTTCCCAGTGGGAGGCCATGTTCAAAGGATCCCACCTGCGGGCTGCGTGTTGAGCCCCACGTAAACCCAAACTGCACTGCGAGCCACGAATAAGTGGGCTGCAGGCCGTATGCGGGCCATTGGCCACGTGTTGAGTAGCCGGTCTCTAGACTGTCCCTGACAGGTGTCTGTCTAACCTGCTCTTAAATATCTCCAGTGCTATTTCCACAACCTCCCTAGACAATTTATTCCAGTGTTTAACCATCCTGACAGGAAGATTTTCCTAATGTCCAACTTAAACCTCCCTTGCTGCAATTGAAGCCCATTGCTTCTTGTCCCTTATGTAAACATTTTAGCGAGTACAAAGACGTTTTCATTTATGCTTCAGTAACATCATAAATAAAAACATCATGTCCAAAATATCAAAAACAGAAAAATCACAAAGAAATGCCTAAGGGGGTGTGTAAGTGGTGTATCCCAGTGTGTCTTTGCCTATAATCATCCGGCACTTTGCCTAAATCTTTTCTTTGGCCTACGGGACAGCAGAAATTCTCACTGCTGACGGAGCCCCTCCTTGCTATGCAGAGCTCCTGTGTTTACCCTGATGTAGCTTCCTTCTCAGCAATGGCATTAAACTTGGCAAAGTTGCTGCTAGTGCACTAGGCACTAAATATTTACACAGAATCCTAGAACACTAGAACTGGAAGGGACCTCGAGAGGTTAGTGAGTCCAGTCCCCTGCCCTCACAGCAGGACCAAGCACCGTCTAGCCCAGGACTACTCAACTTTGGAAGCCCTGGGGGCCACAGTGATACTCACAGCACATGCCGAGGGCCGCAACTTCAGTGTGGTTGCATATACATGCAAATATAG